ATGTTTGTTGTTTGTTTTTTGAGCAGAAACTTGCTCCTGCCTCCTTCTCCCAAGTGCTAGGATCATAAGTGTGCACCATCACACTCAGCTGACGTCTCTTCTTATCAAGACATGAATCTCATTGACTAGGGCTCCACCTTCAGCAGTCCCTCCAGATAACATTATATTGGGGATTGGGACTTCAATATGTGAATTTAGGGGGACCATAAATTCTTAGTCCATAGTAATAATGTAGCCCCAAAGGGTAATTTATTGTAATGGTATAAGACTCCCACCTGGGATCTGAAAACGAGGATGCATGTGGCCTGAAGAGATAGTGGTGACTTTTTTAAATGCATGTGATAGAGTATGACCAGCTCACAGAGGCTCAGAGAACATGTAGTGTACACACTTAACTGTGTCTAAGACCCAATTTAAATCACACCAACAGAGAAGCTTGATTGTCTCAGCCTGTGTCACCTGTCACCCAGCTTTGGCCTGGAGTGTCATGACAAGCAATAGAGACTTGTCTTCCTACCACAGTGGGTGGCATTTGTGGTGAAAAGACTTGGAGAACAGCCCCTAGCAAAGAGAAGTGGTTATGTGCTGGAAGGTCTCCATCACACTGCTCTTGTGGCCTGGCTTTCTCGTCTTAGTGAGGCGGACTCTGAGGTGGGATGGCATAAAGCTGCTTGTCATAGTCATGGCTTGGTGAACTTGGGATATAATTTATCTAAACTAGGTCACTTTTTATAGGGAGCACTATTAATAACTGGAACAACATGTACAGACTGGACTGTCACATAAAAATCCAGACATGGTCATCCATGAATGGAAGAGTTGTAGGTCTTAGGTTTTGAGGCAATAAATCCATCATCTGGGTGGGTTGGGAAGCACCACCTTGGGATTTATGATGCTGTCCCCACTGTTAGGGAGCAACGTCAGAGAAAAAAGGACATCTCTGAATAATTTCTCACTCTTTCCTTGTGTCATTGATTCATCTGTGAAAGGAGAAATTTGGGAGAAAGCACTTTGTTTCTCTACTTCCCAGTTTAATGGAAAATCAGAGTGTTTCTCCAATTCCTAGACAATCTGAATGGTAACTCACATTGTGAAAGAATGGGAACAGTATTTGCTTCAAAATGAAATATTTTCATTGTTTTCCTTTGGCTTGGGTCAGAAAAAGCCAAAAGGATGGTCATTGTATACAGAGTGAAAAAGTTCATATTGTTCTGCTTATAATCTGTTTGCATAAAGAGGAAACCACAGATTTATAGAACTCCATAAGGGAGTCTTCTTGGTCTTTGGGGCTTTTTTTTTTTTTTGGTCCTCTGGTTTGAACTCAGGCCCTTGCACAGCTCTTTTTGCTTTATAGATATTTTTTTAGTAGGGCCTTGTGCTAATGCCCACCTTGGCTGTGCTTCTCCTCTTTAACTTCCTATGTAGCTGGGATGACAGGCACATATCACCACGCCCATCTTATTGGTTAAGATGGGAGGCTCACTAACTTTCTTCCTGGTCTGGATTCAAACCATGATCCACCCAATTTCTGCTTCATGAGTAGCTGGGATTACAAGCATGAAAAACCATGCCTGTTTGATTTTTTTCTTTTTCTTTTGTGGTACCGGGGTTTGAACTCAGGGCCTTATGCTTGCTAAACAGGTGTTCTACCACTTGAGCCACTCCACCAGGCCTGTGGGGTTTTGTTTTTTGTTTTTTTGTTTTTTTTAATGTGCATGATACACATATGTGACCTCTGGATATGCCCTAGGATTTTAAACTAATAGCTCAGTTATGTAGACAAATTATTCAGCTGCTCTGAGTTTCCATTTCATAATCTAATGAAAGTAAGTAATCCCCCTGTTGCTCTGAGATACTTTTCATGAAGAGTTTAGCACAGAGTTCTGCATAGAATAGCCCTCAGTAAATGATAGTTATTACTGATGATAATTTATCCAAAAGACACCAGGAGGTAGGAGATGCTTTCCTTTTTGCCTATGCCGTACTTACATAGACCTCTGTATTATAGGGGTCTGTTGTTTAAAGAAAACAGCCCCTTCTTAGTAATGGAAATCTCAAGTTGATTGTGCCTAAGATGTATTATATTCTTTTGAATTACTGAATTTTCTTTAGCGTGTGTTTCATTTAGGGATGAGGAAATATAAAACTACTTAAATCATTGGGAGCTATATACCTTTCCATAGAATAGTGAAATTGTTTTATATTAAATATAGACTGTGAAAACACAAAGGAGAGCTACTCTCCTGAACCCCAGAGGCCACTAATGTGTTGTTTTTTTAAGGCCAGAAACAAAACTTTGTCTTGCATGGTTTTTATCCAGAGGTCTGCATTTTCCTTTTAGATTTGGTCTAGTAAAATCAGATTTCCCTCTGTCTCAGGTTTCTTGCTGGGTTCCCCGTTTTCTGCTGCATAGCAGAGTTTCTCTAGAGGCCTCTGAGTGTTGGCAGGGAGCAGCTGCCTTCACAGTCAGTACCACCACCATTGGCACTGGAAAAGCTGCAGCAGCAAGCAAGCCTTGTCACCTTTCTCCTGCCAGAGCCCCTGGGCTTCTAGAAACAGGACACGGAAGGCGTGACTGTTGGCTTACTCTTAAGTAAATTAAAATTAATGGCCTATTTGATTCATCTGGGACATCATTTGTCCCTCTTAGAATTATACTCTAGTGTATAATTCTATACACTGTATAATAGTGTATAATTCTATACACTAGAAAATGGAGGTTCACAGCTGAAAAGTGGGCAGATCCATAACATGAAGGACCTTGGTTTCTCTGTACTCAAAGTTTTTGCTGATGAAAATCAAACTTTTTAACCCCAGTCACATTGGAGGCTAGAGCCCACATCAGAAAGAAAGCGTGTACTAGAAGTTGAGTGCCATTTCCACGCGGGGCTCTGTGGTTCAGCACAGCCTCCCCGAGCGCCAAGGATTGACTTTACCCTGTTTGCTGGAGTATAAGTGCAATAAGAGAAAATTTCTTAAGCCTAGTGCCATAAAATTCAAATGCAGTAGGGTTGAGTATGTCTTAGTTCAGAAATGGTTCTCTGGATGCAGAGGCCAGGCATGGTGTGGAAATAATAACGCTTGTAAATAATTACCTGAACGCCAGACCTGGAATCAGGCTCATTCCAGATAATGTGATTGGCAAAAAACATCACGGTCATGCTAGATACTTTTTTATAACCTGGTTTTGCTGCATAATGCATTTTGAACATTTCCTATGTATTAAGTATGCCTTCTCACATTATCCTTAGTGACTGTGTAATTTCTCCAACCGTTTCCTTTATAACCAAGTTAGATAAGAAGATACGGACAGGCTGGGTGGCATAGAATGCATGCTTAGCATGTGCAAGGTCCTGGGTTCAATTCCCAGCACCTCCCCTCCCAAAAAGGTGTGCATCTAGAGAAGTTATATGTGTGCATACATGTTTATATGTGTGTATATATATATATGTATATATGAATAATAAAACCATAAAAGTATTAAATATAGATCTATAAAATCTGGAGGGCAAGTGTATTATTAAGTGCATGAACATTAAATGCCGAAAACCTAACAGAAACAATGAGTGGCTTTGAACACATAAAAAAAAGTCACCAGGTGTAGTGATACACACCTGTAATCCCAGCACTTAGGAAGAACTCAAGTTTGAAGCCAGCCTGGGCTATGTAAGTGAGATGTCTCAAAAACCAAGTTGATTATTAGCTAATTAATTAAAAACTAAAGATCTTTGGGTATGAAGAATACTCTAAGTGAGATGTAAAGGCATTGCCTCTTATAATTCTCACAACAGCTTTGTGAAGGAGGTACTTATATTCCTTTTAGAGAAGAGGATACTGAGTCACAGAAATGACAGTGTAGAGAGGCTGATGATCTCAATGGAGAGCAAAAGCTGATTGAATGAGAGGCAGAGGGAAGAAGTAGCTTGAGTATGGCGTGGTCACAGCCTTGGATACAGATCCTCACGAGCTCTCTAGACAAGGAGGGATGGGTTTCCTTTAAGGCACTTAAAACCATAACACTCTCATGCTGCCCTTCGTTATGTTCACTTCCATTTCCTTGCTCCTCATACCTCAAGCTGAAAAAGATACTTTAAAGGTATGTCAGGTGTGTCTTCACATGCAGAATTACAGAGTCATCAAGGGCAGACAGATGAGACACTGGTCACAGAAGGTTTCCAGTCCTTTTCACTGTTCCTTATGGAGTATATAGGTATTGCAAGTGATCAGTGCCACAGTTCCATAGGGATAATACAATAATACAGATAATTAGTTACTAATTAAAAATGTGGGAGGGCTAAAACTGGATGAACTGTTATTAATTAGAGGAAATAAAATAGAATGATTATAGCTGTCATCATAGTTTAGCAATGGGAAAATCTGCAATGAAAAATTTAGATCTAATGTTGTTACATAATACTTAGGTGGCTCCAAATTAAAACTCCCCCAAGGCCTGGGCATGAGCACATGGCTCATTGATTATGTGCAGTAAGATGTTCCTGTGCAATTGGTCTAAAATTTGGCTTAAATCAGAAACAGTATTTATCTCTTCTTGGATAACAAAATTTATCTGTGTAATAATCTTGACACACTTAAAGAATTCTGATTGATGGGCCCTCTAAGAGCTCTGGTTTGGTCTGTTTTCTACATTTCTTAGGAGTCTGGCAAAGCTATAGGAAATTAAATATCTATCATAAAACTTTTGTATTGAGCTGAAGTACTGTTCTCATAAAGTTTAGCAAAAGGGTCAAGGTCTGTATGTACTTTATTAACTGTACACAAAACTGAATTTGAGTGATTTTTTGATAGTTGCTTAGAATTAGTGTTTGAATCTATACTACAAAGAATATTAAGATTCCTAGCATTAGTGAGTCCTACATACCATATAAAAATGTCTCATTCTGAGTATATATGTGTATACTTGTATATGTATATAAATATGTGTGTATGTTTATTATATAAAATTGTATTTTTAGAAGTCCATTTTCTTTTTTCCCAAACAGATAAACAACCAGATCCTCTATGGAAGAAGTCACCAGAATGCATCTGCCATTATTAAGACTGCCCCATCCAAGGTCAAGCTTGTTTTCATCAGGTGAGGTAGATAGGTCTGATTTTCTAAAACCTGCAGTCTCCTCTGGAGATGTTGCTATTAGTATAACACTATTTTATTTTTGGTTTGTCTAACAAAGTCACTGACTCATCTAAAAATATATTTTCCTTTTGAAACTGTCACTTTAAAAGATAGAGATCGTCTTGCCTATGGACTAAGTTTCCTTGTTTATTTTGTATGTGTTACATAATAGAATTGGCATATATTTCAACTATAAAAAAGTCTTCCTTTGCTGGATCTGATTATGAATATAATGAGACCTTCTAACTTCTCCTGTCATCATCCATTTGGTACACTTGCTGGCTTATTAATGTCTTTATTAAAAAAACATATCAGCATTGAAACAAAACGCAGGAAAGTTTTAAGAGCTTTAAAACTTTATTAACAGTGTAGTGAGGGCTGGGTTGTCAGTGTCACCCACTGCTAGAACACTTACCTAGCATGCTTAAGGCCCTTGGTTTGATCCCCAGCACTGGGTGGGGAGAGGAGGGTATGTGCTGGTGAGAGATCCAGCATGGAGGAGAAGTCAGGTGAGCTGTCTACTTGTGCAGTGGGCTGGGACTCCTTGTTACCCACACTTCACCTGCTAGCTGACAGAGCTCTTGGGCAAGTCAGTCAAAATGGGGAGTCCTTATTTTTTTCGCCATTACTGCCACATCAGAGGGGAAGGAGGCTGTTTGAGTCTCTGTTATTTGCTGAAATGACAGGTAAATCTGGATTATTTTTAGGTGATGTAACTAACCCTATTTGTTAAGTATAACAGGGTTTCTTTTCCTTCCAGGCCTCCATTATCATCTTTAAAATGCCCCGCTTGCTCATTGTAATATTTTAAACATTTAATTTATACTTTTTTTTGTATGGTACTGGGATTTGAACTCAGGGCCTTGTGCATGCTAGGCAGGAACTCTACTACTTGAGCCACACTCCAGCCCCTTATTTTAAACATTTAAAATGATCAGCACAATGCTGAGAATAGCACAAGAGATGAAAGAATGTTAGCTGCTGTTTTATGGTGGTGATGATTATTATTCTTTCTCTCTCATTAGTTACCATCTATAAGACCTACCATTCCCAGGGACCACTGGGATTAGAGGGTAGTTTTATTTCCAGGCATGGGCACCCATGTGATTGGATTGCTCCTTCCTGCATCACCTTTTCACCTCACCTGGTGTTGCTGCTTTTCTCCTGAAACAATCCTACACTGGCACCCTTTTCTCCTATTTCGTGGCTTTTTCTGTTTTTCTAGTTTTTTGTTTTTTGGGTTTTTTTTTTTTTTTAACTCCTATTTCCAAAGGAGACCTTCTTTCTTTCTTTTTTTTTTTATTGTTTTATTATTCATATGTGCATACAAGGCTTGGGTCATTTATCCCCCCTACCCCCACCCCCTCCCTTAACCCCCACTCTGCCCCCTCCCTTTCTCCCCCACCCCCTCGATACCCAGCAGAAACTATTTTGCCCTTATCTCTAATTTTGTTGTAGAGAGAGTATAAGCAATAATAGGAAGGAACAAGGGTTTTTGCTGGTTGAGATAAGGATAGCTATACAGGGAGTTGACTCACATTAATTTCCTGTGCGTGGGTGTTACCTTCTAGGTTAATTCTTTTTGATCTAACCTTTTCTCTAGTTCCTGGTCCCCTTCTCCTGTTGGCCTCAGTTGCTTTTAAGGTATCTGCTTTAGTTTCCAAAGGAGACCTTCTTATATGACTGTGTTAAAACAACCCCTCAGGCTTACTCACCTTGATGTCCTCTGTCAGACACCAGTCTTCTTTTTCAGTTTCCTTGCTCTTCCAGTGTTAGGGGTTGCAAATGAGAGATAATGAAACCTGACAGACTTGAAGGTTGGCCACTTGAGAGATTTAGATGTTGTTCATTGAGAAGAGTCCACACGAGCCAGAGGAGCCTTGAGAACCTCGTTGAAAGCTGAGTGAGGATTACGTGAGAAGATACATATGGATAGCACTGCTGTGGCTCCATGTGGTTGGAGTGTGTCCTCAGGGCTCACATGTTGAAAGTAGGGAAAGAGTAAAAGGAGCCACCATTTTGTTAGTGATGAAAGAGCAAATTGAAGATAGGTGATGTAGAGAAAGGTAAGATTTTTATTTAGAAATGTACCCAGTGTCACATCTGTGGAAAACGGAGGCAAGCACAAGAATGGGCCAGATCTCCATGTCTGTTTGGACAGAAGGCAGGTCAGGCCATTGAATTCTCTAACACAGATGCCAGAGAGAACAAAGGCATCAGCTGGGGAGAAGATATACCCAAAAAGTGCATCTGTGGAGCAGAAACGATATTAACTGCCATTAAGAAGGGAGGAAGGGTAGGCTTAACAGCTTATCTCAAAAAGTTACTAATAAGTAATAGCCACAAACAGAAATGTCATGGCTTTTTTTTTTATGTGTACTATAAAATTCAGTTGATCACCCACATTATGATCCAGATCATGAATGGCTGACAGAATATTTTTGTCAGACAGTACTGATTTCAAAAAAATTGGCTTGTAGTTAGGTATTTTTTTTTTAAATAGTAATTCCAGTTCAGTAAATACTGTTACTGTTTTCCCTTTCTAAAGATAGGATTGAGGCTGGGGGCATGGCTCAAGTGGTACAGTGCTTATATAGCAAGCATGAGACCATGAGTTCAAACCCCAGAATTGTCCCCCCACAAAAAAAGTCACAATTGGACTTAATGTTCTACTTTTCATAAAGATGGGGATTGCCATCTCAAAACCTATTAACGATTGGGTTTTTATTTAGGTTTATATAACTGGCTTGTGAATATATTTAAATACTAGGGAAATCCCATCACCGTCTCAGAACCTAGTAACACCTGTTCAAATGGCCTGCTAAAGGCAATGGTTGAAGATAAGAAAGTGAAGCCTACTTTGTATGTTTGGCCTTGGCTATGCAGATTTATTTAGAAGTCCCAGTATCTAAAATACTGCCCTTTACTTATTGAAAGACATTTTTAGTGTGGCTAATGTATAATATCAAAGGAGAGGCTCAAGTAGTAGAGTGCCTGCCTAGCAAGCACAAAGCTCTGAGTTCAAACCCCAGTACCATTACAAAAAAAAAGGACAAAGTGGTACCTTTAAAAGCTCAGTGGTAGAGGACTTGCCTAGCATGAGTAAGGCCCTGAGTTCAATCCCTAGCACCACACAAAGGGCGGAAAAGACAAAAATAAAATTTTTTTTAAAAAGGAGAAAAAGAAGAGCCTGGCCCATGAATCACGCTCTGGCTCCCTGTCTCTCCATGTGAACTCTCCCTGTCTTACACATATCAGCTGTTATGCCATTTGTCATGGGGCCCTCACCAGAGTCCATACCATGCTGTTTGGACTTTCAGCCTCCAAAACTGCAAACTAAACAAACATCTCTATAAGTTACCCAACTTTAGATATTTTGTTATAACAGTGGAAAGGAATTAAGGCAAGCACTTCAGTACTTGCATATATGTGTTTGGTACATGGTGGTGGCTGATGTTGCAAGTGCTGTTATACATTTGTAGGGCTTTCATGACCAGGAGTAGATCATACACTTTTTAAGAGAGCAAAAAGAAAACTGAATGTGCCAGGTGCTGGTGGCTCATGCCTTTAACCCAACTACTCAGGAGGCAGAGATCAGGAGGATCGCGGTTTGAAGCCAGCCTAGGCAAATAGTTCACAAGACCCTATCTCGAAAAAACCCATCACAAAACAAACTCCAGTACCGCAGAAAGAGAGAGAGAGAGAGAGAATTGAAATCCAGAGGAAATATTAAATTCAGTATTTAGAAATTAGAACCTTCCTCCTTCAATAAAGAAAACTCAAAATGACTTGAAATTATATGGCGTACAGAAAAGAAGGCCGAATAGAATTTTTATAGTACTAGTAAAGCTCCATCAATTTAGTATCTGATGATTTCAATTTTGGTTTTTCAGAACAGAACAGAATTAAGAATTTATTCAGGTAAATTAGTGGTATATGCAAGGTTGAGGTGCTGTGAAATGCTTATTTACTGAAGCAATTTTAAGCAATTTAAAGATATTTAATTATGAACTATCTCAATCTATTTGGGATGCTATAACAAAATGCCACAAACTGGGTGGCTTATAAACAGCAGAAGTCTGTTTCTCAAAGTTTGATGCCAGTGAAGGCCCACTTCCTGTTTCATAGACAGGACCTTTTTGTGGGCCTTCACATAGCCTGTTTTATCTACGATCTAATCACCTCCTAAAGGTGCCACCTAGTGACACCTTCACATTTGTGATTAGGCTTTAACCTATGAAATTGGGGACAACACAAACATTCAGACTATAGCATGCGCCATTTTTGCAACATCATGAAATTATAGTACCCAACAAATAATGGCCATTCAGAACATTTTATTGGGTAAATTTCCTTTTTGCTACTACAAAGCGATTGTAGAGTCTTTATTCTCTAAAGCAGTGATCATAGTGCTGCTTTATATAATGTATCATTATTTGGATTTAAATATATTTACATAACAGCACTTAACAAAATTCTCCATATCTCAGTCCTTCTTCCTACTAGTTCCCCAGATTAGCTGAGTTTGGAAGATTTTTCAATGCATTCTTTTAGAGAAAGAAAATATGAATGATTCTGAGCAATCAGTTGTCATGTCTGCCTTGAGGTCATATAAAAGAAAATGAGCTTGAATTGAATCAGGAGAGATGTACACACAACTGACTGTGTTTCATTTGATCGAATGAATATGTATCTGGTATTTTGTGTGTAAACTTAATTTGGTAGTTGAAAGGGCAGGAACTATTCACTCAGAACCCTTCCCTAAAAAGATGGATTCTTTTCTAAAGCTTGACTGAACTACAAGGCTTTGTGACTAAAAGAAGCAGCTCTGGGTTCACTCTGCCTGGCCATGTCACCACACTCTGTAATTCCCCAGCTGTGGGAGCTCAGGGATGAGACAGCTATTTCATAAATTGTGTAATGTATTAATACGTATAAATTGCCTGGCCATATGGACTCAA